TTAATTTTTATATTTTTCTAGAGAACATAAAATTAAAATCAGCGCTATATTGCGCTTTCAATTAGACAATAATTTAAAAAATTGACGTGGCGGTATATCAGATCGATGTTATCTTAGACGATAGAAAGATCATATTACGTTCTGAAAGTTAAGTGACTATTAATGCAGCTATGTTAAGTAAGACGTATGTTCACCTACTGCTCGCGATTATCGATATAACGACAGAAGTGCCTGCCTTAATGCGGGCTTCCGTGCAAACGATACGATTTTTGAGGGTGGAGTTCGCAGATCACGAAAGAGAAACTGGCTTGTCTCGGTCCGCGTTTCGACCGTGATAACGTATCATGTAAATGTAAATGGCCAATCGTACGCGAAAGGTGTAACTTTGATGAGTTAAAATCGATTGTGTTGAGATAGATAGCAAAAATAATACACCCGTCTATTGTAAGAAATTTAAAGTATATTGTCATCATACATTGCATTGCTCGATAGCTTTTTATAGTTACCAATTTATTTACCATCACGTTTTCATATTTTGTATTCAATTGCACAATAATTTTAGATAAAATTTTATGACATATGAAGACTGTTATATAGTTGCGGAAGAGACGCAATAACGTCTTACCTCTTTGCTGATCTTGCAACTACTAACGGTGCCGATGTGCGAGAACAAAGCACGTAATAAATTTTCTGTCATTGCACGATCCAAGTTGCCAATATATCTAAATTAATATCGATAATTAAAGAAGCAAAAGATCTATTATTACATGTACGTTTATAGAAAAAAAAATATATTTATTTCCTTTTCTCAAACATAATTTTAAAAAATTCTAAAGACATATTCTTTATGATCTAATTTTAATTATATACATGTGAAATATTGTTTCTCCTGATTTCAAACTGTATAAATTTGTGTTTAAAAATTCTATTTATTTGGAAATAATCGAAATCATTAACATTAAGATATGTATGAAGAAGAAATAAATATTAATTTGAAATTCACGATTAATTTGAAATTCGAATTCGCGATCGCCAAATTTTGATAGAGAGTAGTATAGTCACGAAACAACGAGTTGTTTCAGAAAATATAGCGAGGGATGGATACGTGCCAGAAATCCATATGTCTGACGGTCGAATTAGAGCGGAAATAGGCAAAAATCCAAATTTCCGAAATGTATACCATACAGGACGATACGTACCGCACGATAAATTCTAAACTCGTAGCCGGAGCTCGATTTCCGTAATGGAAGAACAATGAAGAGTGCTTCAGGAAACAATACGATGATACGGGCGGCTGTTACGTGAACGGAGCAAGAATAGAGCAGTAGTAAATGTCATCGGAGTCGCGCATAAAGTTACCATTAACTCGTTATACGTATCGTGAAATAAAATGCACCGCAATACGGACATACATAAACTAAGCTCGGATGACTATAATACTTCTTCATTTAATCACTGAAAGAGGAGCTTGATGCGCGGAAATAAGAATATTAGAACCATTAAATTGGCTGTATAACATTCTAAGAGAGATGAAAAGAAAACTCAAACGATAGTTCAGAATTTATCTTAAACTACAAATTTTTTTTTAAATAATTTTTTTTATTAAATATCTACATAAAAGAATACTAAAGAATAATGGAAATTATGAAAAAAACGACAGATAGATTAAACATTTAAATAATTACAAATATTTTGATTAACAAATCATGTAAATTTGGTTAGTGTTTACGTTAAATATCACAGAAAAAAATTTGTGCTATATATTTATATTAAACTATATATGACATACATTCCCTTCTCCTCCAAGTAATATTTTTTCGAATAATTTTTAAAGTGATTTATTACTGAAATAATTTATACATAAATTTTATTAAGATGAGATATATGTGTGTGTGTAAGTAATCATAAAACAATACTTACAAAGTTTTCGGCGTTGTATCGTTCGACACATTTCCCAGAACTATTTTACGCTGCGATGCGAGCTGCTATAAGCGCAGCAACTTTCCGCATACTTACACATTTAAAATCTTATAATTTTACTTAAATATATCTTATGCACAACTAGAACATAGAAGGTCTAAACTCTTCTAATAATGGAATTGCAAGTTCTTAGCACGTGGATCTTGCAGACTGCCAAATAGCCTGCTAAAGTAAAGAGTAAGCGGCAAATTTTAATTCTGAATTATACACTCCCTAAATTAAAAAAATAATTTAATAAACTTATATATATTTTTTTTCCTCGACTTCAAAACTTTATTGCAATGTTTAGAATAAAAATTACCAGTTTTATTTAAATGCATATATGTGAATCGCATGTATTGTTTATATAAAATCTCAATTTCTTTTTATATTAAGATTTTTTTACTGTAAAATATTTGTTTACGACTTCTATCATGCGTTTGACTTAATAAATATAATCCAGTGCTTTAATGAAATTATATTAATAAGATCTACTTTATCAATTTCTTCAGGAAAACGAAGAAAAATATATCTTTCTTGTGAAATTTACTCTGCCACGGCCAGTTACTATAAATAATTTGTAAGGAGCTATCGTAAATGTCATGGAGTTTTTCCGAAATGTAAATCACTCTTACCATAAAGGGCTTGTTGTAAAAATCGTATCCTTACCTCACTTTATATAACTGCCATTGAGCGTAAACGTCTGTCTTGTAATGTATGTATGAGTATCTTTCCGCATGTTGAAAAGGGAAACAAAGCTACGTGTCATGCACACAATGTAGTAAAGCATAACGAATGGTCAGACAGCCAGATTTGAATGGCATTGTGTATGAAAGTAATACGTAGAATAGCATATTTTTTTTCTAACGAGAAAAGGAGAGAGAAGAATCGCCATTCTTAAAATATAGTAAATTTTACAGAGACTACTATTTATATAAGATCGTATAAGTATGTATTCTTATGTTAATTTTTCTTCTAGATGTTATACTTTACAAAAATATTTCATGCAAAGAAGAAATTGCATTAATATAAACTTTTTGATTATTAAATATTCAAATTTATAATAGATTATTATTTATTCGATATTTTTTATGGTGCAATTTAAATGCAAGACTGTTTATTCATCTTTATAAATTCTCGTATTTATTCTCTTATGTATTTAATAACAATACTTATCTTTAAATTTATTTGCTAGTTACATTAATATTAATGTAGTAAAGAGAAGTACATGGAAGCACTTTAACTCTTTCGATGTCTATATAGTTTCACGATTCTTGTTATAATTTGACGAAATTACAAAAAGATTGATGTACAACGTGACTTTTCATGTGCATGATTATTCGCGTGACAATATAGGCTTGGCCGTACGTATTAAACGCCGTCACGTAAAAGCCGGCACTTAATTTCTCCAATTATAACGTATGCGGGTCACCGTGAAACGTGCCGACCGAAAAATCCTACGTCGAAAGATTTGAAGGAAACATATTTCAAAGTCAGCCAAGCTAGATGGTGAGGATATAAAATAGTAGTCGATCAGCGACGTCAACTTTTACGGATCGTGCCCACAGCGGCCACAGTTGCATGTCGAAAGCGGTGCCTTTCGGAACCGCCGAGAAGCCACGAAGTACTGCGAAAAACTTAGTTTTGCGAGGACGATAAATCATCTTGAAATTCGCCGGGGCTGACAGGCATGTAGTTTTACGAGAGCCTGCACGCAAAATGCAAAGCAGTCTCGAACCTGGTGAGCTTGCACCGCAATTAATTAGCGTTTCGTGATAGCCGTGCATGTGCCGAAGCATTCTCTTTTTTTCTCCTAGAACCGCTAAAGCTGCTCGCGCGATAAGGTGACGCTATTCGCTGATCCGATTGGACATGTAACACCATTTTAAGGAACATATCGGCGCACACGCTGTTCGACTGCACGATATCGAGATTATTGCCAAAGTTTTTCATAATTCTATCACGTGTCTCTATGGCTATACCTGAAATACACTTGGAATTAATACTGTTAATATCAATTAAATAGCGATTATATAACGATTATATAACATATGCGTAAATTTGTAATCAAATTATATGAAGGAATAAAGTTGCAAAAATATAAAAGAATACTGTAATTTATTAAAATTCGTGCATACATAAGAATCAAAATTAGTATCTTTTTATAATCCGTTTAGACAAATTATAAAAATTTATTTAATCTACGTATGTATTTACATGTTATTTCATATTTGCGCATTTTTGTCCCAATATTGATATCTTTTCTGTGCAATATTTTATACATACCTTCAATCATACAATTACAATTGCATAACGTTTTAATGTCAATATCGTCAATAATATATACGAATATACATTAAATATGCAAATAAACGAAATAATTAAAAATTAACAATTATTTAAATGTACCAATAGATTGAATTATTCTTAACATTTTTTTGTCATTAACACCTAATAACTGATTTGTTACTACAAAACTAAAAATCGTCAGAGAGAGGAGAATTGATTACATAGGCCGATTTCGTAATATAGTGCAATTAATATTTCATATACATATATCTCTTAATTAGTGCTTTGTAATAAAATTTACAAATAATACACACAAAAACACTGTAAAATACAAAGTTTGATTTTTCTTCTGCATTTCATCTTTTCTTTTTAATATCAATGTTAGACGTGTAATTTTTATTTTTTTATTTTAGGTATCAACTGAAAGTAAATTTCTTTCTCAACGTGATTTATTATCGCATTAAGAGAGAGAGAGAGAGAGAGAGAGAGAGAGAGAGAGAGAGAGAGAGAGAGAGAGAGAGAGAGAGAGAGAGAGAGAGAGAGAGAGAGAGAGAGAGAGAGAGAGAGAGAGAGAGAGAGAGAGAGAGAGAGAGAGAGAGAGAGAGAGAGAGAGAGAGAGAGAGAGAGAGAGAGAGAGAGAGAGAGAGAGAGAGAGAGAGAGAGAGAGAGAGAGAGAGAGAGAGAGAGAGAGAGAGAGAGAGAGAGAGAGAGAGAGAGAGAGAGAGAGAGAGAGAGAGAGAGAGAGAGAGAGAGAGAGAGAGAGAGAGAGAGAGAGAGAGAGAGAGAGAGAGAGATTAATTTTACTTCTGTTATATATTCAAATTAAAAGAGTAAGGTCGGAAAGATGTGTTGTCGATCATGATTTTGGTACAAAACCAGTCATAGGTGGTGGACCAACAGGTCTGCTTGATATGGGTACTGTAGGATCTATTCCCATAACAGATGTTCCTACGTTGCTTTCACTGTTTGACAATGCAGATGATAAATTCAAAGATGGCGAAGGAGACACTCTCTCAATTGACATTGTTTGCTGAGGAAGTTGCGCATCTGTCTGAATACCTCTAGATCCATATATTTCCTTCAGTATCAATAGCATAGTATCCTCAGATTCCCTAAAATTAATCAAACAATATAAGAATTAATAGGCAGTAAATATAACGTAATATATTTCTCACAACAAATATATCTAGATTTACCAGTAACAGATATGGCTTGTAAGAGCAAAAATATATTCATTAATATATTCAAAAGGCGCTTCTTGAAGCACGTAATCTATTCTTCGACCACCGTTAAGTTTTCCTATTTTTAAATTGGCACCACCATCGTCGTTGTTATGTTGATCTGGTATACTAGGCTGCTTCTGTAACTGTTCCTCGACAACTTTATCGATCTCACGTTCCAAAACTTGATTGTCTGGTTTGTGAAATAAGGCTAATTGATAGAAAGAGTTCCACGTATTTTTTACGGAATCAATTAACTTTTGTTTCAAATCTGCTCCGACACGTGCCATCGTTTCCTTTAATTCTGCAAATCATAAACATTAATAAATATATGAATTTTTCTTCATTAAAATTTCTTATCATATAAATTATCACATACATTATAAAAATAAGAAATTTTTAAACTCACCTAAATGCATTCTTTTCCTGCCTTTGTGATGTGGTATCAGCATAGGTCGAAATTTGTGAGCTTCAGGATTAATCAAGGACTCTACTCTATAAGCTACTGGATCAAAAGGATGAAAAATGTTGAAGAAAGCTGGACAAGTGGGTAGAGCAAAGTTTTCTCCGAGAGTATCAATTCCGCGAACCGTTACAAACATGCCAATCGGACTGCCGAGAGCAAAAAAAGCACGCGGATGAAAATTGAGCTGCGGATAATGTATGTAAGGTTGGCCAGTTCCTGCCGCGCCCATTACAACATAACTGATTCTTCTACTAAGACGTCTTTTCAAAACAGCTGCCGGCATTGGCTTAATGGGCCCAATACTATCATTATCCTGCGATAGCGCGATAAACATTTTACTACTTAAATATTTTAAATTGAGATAAAAAGTATTTAAATTATCATAAGATCGAGTAAAAAAGCGGTTTTTTTTTTTTTTTTTTTACTTACACCTTCCTTATCACTGCCAGTATTGTCATCGTTTTTTCCGTCTTCTTCTTCTTCTTCTTTCTTAACGGGCTTTTGATGGCACAATAGATCGAACAAGATTAAACTGCCCAATGAATGACCACTTAAGTATATTTCTCCATCAAAGGTAGGATTTCTTTCTTTAAATAGAAAGTGCAATCTATTTATCTCACTTCCGACGGTGCGCATAATAGTTTGACAATATATGGGACTAGTATAGAAAAGTATATCGAGCAAAGTATCATTAGTAAAATGTCGTAACTTTGGTATACTCTCCAAAGTGATAGATTGCAACTTTTTGTCGATTCCTGTATCCTCAGAATGAAGTGTTGTATGCCAGGAGATTGGCAAAACTTCTATTCTATTTACGATTCCTTGCTCGCCCGCAGTACGATAATGTGACTGCACCAATTGAAGTGATATACTTCGAAATTCATCAACTGTAAAAAAAAAAAATTTTATAAACATTAATATATCGAAATTACATATTTATAGATTTGACAAGTGATCATTATAACTAGTTTATCCGGATTTAACGTGACATTTTTCACAACTTACCGACTTCTTCTACAGTGCGGAATTTTAAATCGCAAACACTACCTATACCATGAACGAGAAATAGGAGATGATCTACTTTTTCGGGCTCACCCTCGTCTATATTGAATTCGTCAACTCCTCTTTTAACAACTCTTGGTCTACTTGCAGCACCCTGTAAATATGTAGTGTCCTCTGAACCCTGTAGAAATTAGGATTCACCATTTCAAACAGAACCATGCGTGTATTATAAAAAATCGCGTCTTAAGCGGTAAAATAATTTATCAAAAATAATGAAATATTTTAAAGAATAATTGCATAAATTGGAAATAATGTGTGTGGTATAAAATAAAATATAATTTTAAAAACACTGAAAATAAAATGTTATTAAGTCAAAATTAAAAGCTTAAGTGTAAACTATAAGCAAAGCATTTTTAATAATATATTGAACATATAAATTGCATAACAAAGAATAAATAATTTTTAACAGCACATTTATTCCATTTTAATAAAATATAATAATATAAAATGTTTAATCGCAGTGACAACGGAACAAACTGTACAATATTTCAACAATAGTAAAATTAAAAAAAAAACCTATGAACAAACATTTTAATACAAAATTCATACAATTACATATCAGTGTAATTTAGTATCATTACACAGTTTATTAAGCAGAACTTCTATAAATTCAAATTTTCCAATTAAATATTTCCAAATATAAACTGCTTTAATTATTATATAATTTTATTTTAACGTTGAATTTATTATATAAAGCTTGTTTTCTTACTGCACTGTTTCCCCAAGATCCTGCCAAATCCGGCGAAGTTAGTTGTAGATAATGAACCTGAACTGTTGCGCTATGGAAGATAACATATTCTCCGTTATTCAAATCAACTCTTCGATTCCAATTGTTCGTAAGGCATGCTTGCTTGTATTCCTCCTCGAGCTTTACAGCAATGCTTTCGTTGTAAGGAATGTATCTCGATTCAGTTGCTCCTTTGAAGAACCAAGAACATCGTCTAACTTCGGTAGGCGCACCGATCCAATACACGGGCGTTCTTTGACGACGCAAAATATCGACGTCGTAACGACCACCCTCAGTAGCCACTGTGGTTTCAGGAGTAATATCGGTAGAATTATGTATTTCTTCTAATTTTAAACTATCCTGCATCGAAAACGGAAGCCATAGTATTTTGTTCTCCACCTCTTTGCGGTAGAACCAATGATGGTATACCGATCTGTACTGCATATGTTTATCAGAAGATCCAGCAGCCTAAAAAATATTTATTTTTTGTGAGTATAATAATATATTTTTATGCATTTTTTAAATAACAAAATAAAATAAATAAAATATAGCTAAAAATGTTCTACTTATATAAATACAAATATAAAAATATTGTCTAAAGAATTTATTAATAAAGAGATAAAGGAAAAATATAAATTAATTACATACATATAAAGAAAATTTATTAGTAATTAATATTATTAGTAATTTGTATTTAATGGCAATATTTTATGAGATATTCTTTTGCCTAAATCTTATAAATAAATTAGGAATATGGTATGAGCGAGATATTTTTACCCAATTTTGAAAACTTGGTGGAATGGTATCTGGTGTAGTACGAATCGGCGCATTAACCGACATTTGAATAGGGTTAAGTGTGGCTGATCCCGTTGGTTCAGGTATTGCTGTTACCATCGAGACTGCAGGCGAAGAATATGCAGTATTTTCTGCATGAGCAGTATAAGATTGCTGTAATCCACTGGTATTCTCGTACAAGGATGGGTTTTGATACGATTGCTGTTGAGAAGATTGTTGATTGTATGTATGTGAAAAAGTCAGTTGTTTAGGCAATTCATTTGTAAATTGAGCAGGATTATAAAATGTTGGCGTTGGCGATTGGCTGGGCACGTTATATACTGGCTGGTTAGATATAACGTTTAACACCTGCGATTGAGAAGATTGATCGGCATTCCAAAACGGTACGTGAACCGTGGAATCAATCGCTGTAGAATTAAAAGCCGAATTTTCTTGAACTTGCTGCAAATTTTTTGTCGCATCAACTATTAAGGTACTTGGTTGATTATAAGAAGGATTTGTATTCTTCTCCTGAGAGAAATTCAAGAATCCGTCCGGTTTTGTCGATTCAAAGAATACACTTGCCGATTGCTCCGTTGGTTTCGGCGGATTGTAGAAACTGCTTTGCGGAAGTTGAACAGGCGGTATGTAATTCAAGCTTGATCTTTGATCTGCGGGTCTGTCTGCATATACAGCGGAGCTTGGCATAGATGTCGATTGCGATTGGAAATATTGTTGAGGCAAATGTATGTTCGACTCAGCCGCTTGGTTATCTGTTACAACCGGATTGTTATCCGTATGTACTTCCGGGCAGATCACAGATTCCGCCGCTGGCTCTTGCCCAAGAAATACGTCACTCCAAGTGTCACTTCCAGGCTGAGCGGTTTTCTCTTGAACGTTATTCAACTTTGCCGTGTATGATTCATCGATGAACTCATTTGTAGCCAGCGGCGTCTCGCTCTGCGCTTCGAAAGATTTCGTTAATTCAGTAGTAACGCTAGATGAAATTTCATTAATTTTTGAAAAGGTCTCGGAAGTTGTCACGCAAGGAGAATCTTGTTTTTGCTCTGCAAGTAAATGTTCCAACTTTTCTGTCACCTTGGCTGCTGATATCGGAGTAAATGTCGCTTTTGTCTCCTCCGATATCAATGACGGTTTATGCGCAGATTCTGTAGTTGTCTCGGGAATACCGTCTCTCAAAAATTCCGACGATGATTTTGGTTGATTTGGCTTTCTAAACGCAACCACTTCTCTGTCTAAATTAGATGCCGGTAGGATATCTCGATCCACGTAAGGTGCAAAGCCGGCGAATGAGACGTTCGCCGGAGTGTTCTGTGGCGTTGTGGGCTCCAATATTTGCGCAGATGTCGGTCTTGATGACGACGAAACAAATTGCGATGGCGTAGACACGGAAGAACTTTCAGAAAATTGATTCTGAGTTGTAAATGCTACGGATGAGTTATATGTTGTTTCTGTTGCAACTGGATTGGATCGAAATGAGCTACGAAGAGAACTATTTCCCGATAGCTGCTCAAACTTTGGAAGCTGTTCGGGTAAAGAACTAGTCTGTTGTACGCTAGAATTGTTACCCTGCACCGATTCCTCCGACTTAAACGGATTTAAAATGGTCGGCGGTGCAGACACATTTTGAGTAGGAAAGAATGTTTGTACCGTTGGGCTCGGCTTTGCATTGTTGGTCTTTAAATCAGGTGGAGGCGCATACTTCAGCCGTCGTTGATTACCAAGTCGATAAGAAATAGGCGCTTTAAAAAGAAATAATAATTAATTCTAAAATAATGCTCTTGAAACATAACATCGTTGCTATATTATATAATCGAATGAGTCAAACATAAAATAATTATCTGCGTGTATAAACAGCACGTAAACAAAATTAAAATTACAAAATTAACCTTGGATTTCTACTAATTATGATTTCTTGGAATAGCTTTAAATAAAATCGCTTTACGTATCACTTAGTTACTTATTCAAACATCACGTAATTAACTAAAGATTTAATCAAAACTCGTTGTGATAAAAATTATGTTAAATCATTAGTAATTATGTTAACCGAGAAACAATTTTACTTACAAATTAATTTTAGACACTCACCATAACCAGATTGAGGTAAACTGGGCGGAGGATTCGATACAGTATCAGTGGAACCGAAAGCAGCGAATCCTGATAAGTTTGTATTTCGAGGATTCTGAGAGTTAATTGCTAAGAATCCTGGTATTTCCGACTGAGAATCACGATGTCCTTGTGAAGATACGTAAGGATTAGGTTCGTGTACCACTCCGCTTGAAGTGTCATCGATTGTTTGATTTATTTGCGATCCCAAAACGTCGGTTTTAGCTGATGACAGCGACAAGTTCGGTAGAGAAGAAAGAATCGTCGTGAAATATCCCGATTTTGCTGGCTGATTCACTGTATCTTTGTTCTCCTTTGACTGAAAAGATGCATCCGTAGAAAAATTCTTCTGTATCTTTGATGGAGACTGAGATTGAATATTAGCCGGCTCCTGTCCTATGAAGTTGTCGAGCTCGGCATCTAGAAGAAAATGATTTAACTTACAATTATCGATTTCTAATATATTATTTTTTAATATTATATATTTGATTTTCTGATATATTTGTATATATCCGTATGCGAGAAATATATAAAAGAATTTTGTCTATCATTATTGCAAACATCTTGCAATAATTCATGTAAATATAGGAAAACATGCTTAAAATAAGAAATTATATCACACAAATAAATTTTTCTTAATAATATTTTTGTGAATATTTTTCTCTCAAAATATAGAAAAAACATTCTAAGATTTTCAGAAATTAAAAAATAGATACATTTAATCATTTTTAATTAATCGGATATAATAACGTCCACAAAAAATATCTTCTTCTAGACAACTAAATTTTCCATGTTATTTATGAACTGTCAATATTAGACAGGATGCAATGAACGTAAGAACCAATGAAAAAGATAATGCTATCGATAATGCTCTTACTCTTTGACTTAGTCTTTGATTAGATGAGCATTCTGAGAGATACTTTGTATTATTGTTTGAAGTTTTTACATTGACGTAACTTATTCATAAGCGCAAATCTTTAAGGATAATTCACAATAATTAACAATGACATTCGCGAAATTAAGGAAAAACTCATTAATAGTTTTCAAAGATTTCGTATTTGAATTATTGGATATCAATTCCTCGGCATCGTCATTAAATTATTATAAAAACAGACAACTTATATATTAGTAAAAATACTTTTATGCTTGTATCTATTCAATAAAAAAAATTTGTTTCTGTTATACATAATCATAAAAATATATGCAATATCATTAAATTTAATATAATATATAAAACGCTTATATAATTTGATATATAGTAATTAAAGAAAAGCATTTAAATCTTATTATACGAGTATAAATAACCAACTTATTCAAATTTTATTTTACTCTTTGTTTTAATAATAAAAAATGTTTATCACTTTTTCTCAATATAACTTTGAAACACACTATGGAGAACATGCATATTATCTCATAAATATTAATTCTATAGTTTAAATTATAAAGCATTTAATCTGAGATAATTACATAATATTAAATACTACAATATTTAAGTAATAAGTTTATCCAACTATTGTGTATCAAGCTTTACTCATAACGAGATATCTTTGATTGTGCAACATACGTTACGCCCAGATTTACTTTTGCACTCATGTTATCGTCAATGTAACTGAAGACATGTTACCCCCTTGGTAAACTAATGTGAACGAAACTTTATAAGTACGCCGCACATTTTTACTCTAGTCTTTCCGTCGAGTATTTTCCCTGCGCTTACGTCATGGAATCACGCGTGTATTGGCTTTTTGTCATATGTTATGTGGCTTGCATTCTACGCAAAAATGCACTCGGTGTATCAATGTCCGTAAAAGTTTTCACGTCGATTAATAACGCTTCTGGATCGGAGAGAGATGCGGGAATACTCAAAACAGAAAATACACGAACTGTGCAATCAATCGAGACAAAAACGAGATTGGATGGGATTACTCTAAAGGATGGCTGGTCTAAATTTGACATTCCGTTAGAATCTCCGAAAGATCTATCTGAGATAATAAAATTTCCAAGCGATTTTTTAACAGCAAGATGTTCTAGGTTTGTTATGTCAATTAGTGTGACAGTATATATTTATATTAATAAAACTAAAATAAGAATTATTATATAGACGAGACTTTAATTCTTTTTCTTATATTCTAATTATATATTTTTTTTATTTCTCAATATATACATAAATATATAATTACAATTATTTTAGAAAAATTAATTTGTATCTGAAATAAAAGAAACAAAATATTTTTGTTGGAAGGTACTGCATACAACAAGTGAAAACTGGTGAAAACGATTCTGTTGTGAAAGGTATTTATCTTTTCTTTTCATTCGCCGGGGAAATAAAAGCAAAAAGAACAAAAAAATCTTAACGTAGAGATATTACATAAATAATGTTTTATTAGATTATCAATATTATTGACGTTGTTTATCATATTCGATTGAATGACGTATATAAGTTTTGCAAATTATGCTATTGCTCTTATTGTTAGTTTAACTTTTAACACTAGATATCTTGAAAATAACTGATGACGCATCATTAGATAATATTTCAAATTATTAATACAGGATTACAACAAAACATATACTGATGACAATAATCTTATTATAAAGAATATATTAAATAAATGCATGTATATATATCGCATAATAAATTGATTTAAAATACAAATTATATATAAATTAGTTTTATATAATTATTTTGATGTTTTAGATAATTTTTTATTGGGTAATAGCCTGAATACAAAGATAGAAAGACATTTATCTATCGATAATAAAAATTCAACAATTTTAGACAATTGTCAAGTAAGTTATTTTTAAAGAAACACCAATTTTGATAAATACTATCACATATCTATTAATTAGATATTTATCTTTATTTGAGCTCTGACATTGTAAATACTATAAATATTATAAATATAGAAGAAAAGTCGATTGATCAACACAACAAATTTTATTTAAATTTAGAATTTATTTAAAGCCTTGAAACTATCCAGAATTCATATTTTAAAGTTTAAAGTATTCTTTATATACCACAACAAAATTTTCCGTTAAAATATATATATAATGCATTTTTTTATATATCGCAGAAAAAAATTAGTGTACAGGGAGAAGGGTTAACTTGAACGAATATATCGAAACCAATTTTCATAGATAATGTAATTGAAATTTTAATTAGCATTCTATGTTTGTGTGTGTGTGTGTGTGTGTGTATGGAGAGGAAATCTTTCGCATGCAGTTCTGATTCTATCTATAAGCACATACATGTGTGCACGTACATATACTCTATTTTTTTATTTTTTATATACAATAAGAAGACAGTATTCTGAATGTATGTGTTTTTGTTCTAAATATTTATCTTTAATTTTATATATACATTTATTAATTCGTGAAAAGCATTATGTTGACGTTTATAATATATATTATGTGATAAAAAAATATATTAATTGATCTGAAATAAGATTATTTAATTAATCTTACAATTAAAATAACACAGCATGCGATTGACTAGCGTAAAAATATATCAATATCTATTATTCTATTCATGCGATACTGAATTTTTTAATACACCTCATATATCACAACTGTCTTCTATTTACTGAAATATCTTTTGTGCAAAAAAACATCATTTAAGAGGATGCCGGATACCGACAGAATGCAAATATTAGTAGGATTGCAAAATATTTTTGTTGATTATAGATATCAACAAATCCTTTTCCATAATTAAAGTATACATAATAACGGAGTGCGGGGTTTATGATTTCATATGAAAAGTGAAAAAAAATTAAAAAATTACAGTTTTGTTATCGGCTTCTGCCGTCAACATTTACTTAATATAAAAAACCTGCAACCTGCACGTGCCTAACAAGTGAACTCCGCACTCGGCATTTTATCAAAGAGTATTAGTGAACTTCGAGAAGTGAGTTTAGAAGCTTTATAAAAAAGATTTTACTATGCAACATTTTGCACACCGAAATGTTTCTTACTAGGCTTTCAAATACATTTTCAAACGTTCACTTATATTCCTTCATGCATTTCCGAGTGGAGAGGTATCCTATTTTGCACGTACACACCGCAAAACCCTTATATTAAGCAAATATATAATTATTATGGCCGGTAAAACAGGACGGTCCGGCATTCTCTTAAACCTTGTAACAAATTGTAAAAATCATATCATACTAATTTTTTTACTGATGTATTTTTCGGTTATCAGATCTATATAGAACAGTGTCGCTACATCCGTCTAACCTTCATACACCAAGGACAATATTGATCGAGTGATTGCTTAGTATTCGTTGTATTACACTGAACAGCCACATCACACAAGAATTCATACTTGCACTTATTATAAATATTTTATTTTTAATTAATAGACAATATATCTGTCTTTTCACGAAATCTTTATAATCGGTAATTCAATTCAGCTTAAAATAATACAAAGATGAAATTTAATAATTCTCTTATCAACAAATTGTGATTTTTTATCGTCAATTTTAATTTACTATCCAAACTATCGAAATGTTTACTCCAAGAACAATTTTCACTTCCAATATGCACATTAACGGACAGAATGAGGCGGAAACCAGAAATAATGATGTCGTTGGCATGTTGTGCACAACACGGAAAGGGTAGTTATCGATGCGCGCAACCTGCCACCAAGAGGGTGGTGCGTGAAGCTAACAGGGGTGGGAAATTTAAAATACGACTTAAATGTAATCACTTTCTTTGGAACGGGATGAGGATAACGTCACGAAGAATAATTAACGAGTGATAATCAAAATTGTAAATCTTGATTATGTATCGTTATAGTAATGCAACTTAAAATTATGAACTTATTTTTTTTATATGTATGTATTTATAAACTCTTTTTTAAATTTTCATTTTTTATGAGAAGTTCTTGGTATAAATAATTAACTGTCTAACGACAAAAGTATGTCAATTATATTTTTTTCATTTGCTTTATAACCTGGTTACAAATAGCTAAAGAAATTAAAATAAAATAAAATATAAAATAATAATAATTTGACGATTTTCTACTGATTATTGCATTTATAAATATAAACATGATAATTTTAATAAAAGATCTGTGTGAGACGCAATATTATTTTAGTATAAAAAGAATTGATTTTATGTCATTAATAATAAAAGATCAAACAAATCTTGAAATGCAAAACAGTTGTACTCAAAAAGAAATTGGTTAATAAATTTCATATCAATTTATTGCATTAACTAAATAATGCTAATTAATAATAGAATAATAGACTATAAATCAAATAAAACGACATACGTCTCGCAATTTTACTACAATTGTGCATAAGAATCAGATAAATTCACTTATCACGATGACTAATAATTGGGTTTTTATCACAATCAACAAGACAAAACACTCACTTTTATCTTTGCGCGATTTAACTGTCAAAAAAACACGCGAGTTGCTCTTGGGTCCACACGTACTCTCGCGCGGCTGCCAACTTCCTTGTAATACGGCAGCCGTTTTACAACTGCAATCCGTCGGTTTCTGGCTCGCCAATACACACAAGATTGTGCAATTCACGATGCTCTTTGGCCACGGCTCTCGCTCATTCCCTCTCTTTTATTCTCGCTCATTTGCATCCTTAGGCATGTCGGCCCGCGCAGAAAGAAACAAGATCTTAATAAAAAAATTGTTTTCTGTTTTCTACGATGCGACATTTAAGATAAAGTTAAAGAGAAACAGACATACAAAAAATATGCAATCGTAAATAAATCTATGGACTTTTCTTGCAAATAAAATTTACATATCTACTTTCCGCTATACCGTTGAATATCTCGAAACTTTGCCAAGGTTATTATTATTCGTATAATTATATTTTTAGCCAATCTACGAAATATCTCTATTTCTATTAGTATATGTTAAATAAAATTAGTTGTAGTTTTGAAATGATTGTAATTATTTCAATGCTTATCTCTTTTGTATAATCTCTTAGAGTTTCCTTAATATTGTATTTATAGCTCTGTGTTACACTTTTAATTATTCTTTGCTTCCCAATGCTGCAACAAACTTCAATAGAAATCTATTGCTTTCACTTTCGTTGGCATAGAAAGTTAAATAAAGCCTTTATAGGCGAAAGTTCTGTTTATGCATCCGAAAGATGAAATTTCCGGAATGAATTCCGAAAAAAATATTGGGTGCATCATTTAGTGAACTTTTTAAAAATTGATATAATACATATATCATTTATGTACGATAAAAAACGAATCACTAAAAGAATATAATATTTTACTACACTATCTAAAAAATATTACTTATTAATATTATATTTAAGAAATATATTATTATAAATTCTTATTTTTACTATTTCTTCTAGAATTCAATATAGAAAAGGACTTTAATAAAATATTAGATGAAAACAGACAAAAAACTAAAGCAACGAATATAAGTAAGAAAACTGAAGAATTCATCAATTTAAGAAAAGTAAGTTGAATAGCAGCACAATATCTTTTTACATCTTTTGCATTGTACACTACCATACATAATTATCAGGATATACTTGTACGTAATCATTACAATTATGTATATATTCTAAAGGATATTCCCGAGAATATTGGCAACAATCAAACCAGTATATATGCAATACCTGTAATAAATTCTAAAATAACTAGAAGACCAAAGTTCGCACGCGTGTTTGAGAGATCGGCAGAAATTATGGATGAAAATAAAACAAATAATGACGACGAAACAATGGATTTCTCTGATGTATTATTGCCTTCGGTGGAGACTACTGTAGCAAAAAACTTCATCAATTATTCGATATTTTCTCTACGCGCACGTAATAATTCTCTGACGAGTTATGGTGACATTATAATTCCACAAAATGCATCAATAAATAGGAAGGCATTTAATAGAAAAATATTAGCTCTTGTAAGGCATTATATATATATATAAATATTCTCTCTCTCTCTCTCTCTCTCTCTCTCGTTCTATAAATAAAATTCTTACTGTGCAGAAGCAACAACAGAAAGTTCAACCGCGATCATCGGAAATTGCATCATTAAATGAAGATATCGATATAAACGATGTGAAACTATCCACTAGAGATAATGTATTAATGCAAATACATACACAGGATAGCGATCAAGATTTTTCAACGCAATTTGCTAGAAATATTGGAAATTCTTTTGAAAGAAAAAAGATACTGCTAGAAATTAATGCCAAAAGTAACTTGATTGCTGCACCAGGAACAACACACAGAGTGTTATTTGATGTGACAAATAACTGCGTGCTTCCAGTGAGATATGCAATTCGAGCGAGAAGTTCGCCATTTAGAATACTCAGCATAATGCCAACCTTGTAAGTAAATCAATTAATAAAAATAAATACAGATTAACTCGTTTTTAGAAAGATTTAAATTAGAATATATTGGCCAGTACGAACCGATAAGCACTGATGCCCATACAACGTATATAATACATTTGCAATTTATATAACGTAATTCACAGTAAATACCAGCTTAGATTTTTATTTAAGTCTTTCTCAACCAATGTACAAATAGTAAACTGTTGATTGAATAAAAAATGTGAATCTGTACAAATAGCCTTGAATACAAATCTTACATCAATAGTAGTGATCTTCGACATTTAAGCAAAAGAAAATAAGTAATATTTTTACAAGTAATATTTACACAAAAATTTGCCATGCACTGGCTTGTATTTAACTTCTATTTAAATTAATTAATTAATATAATTAAGATTATTACAATCAATTTATTGAAATTAATATAACCAACTTACTAATTTGTAAATAATATGGCTTATATATTTTGAAACCAAATTATATATTAAATTTTATTTTTTAAGTTTAAATAAGTATTATTTCTCTGTTTTATGTGTGTATAAATTTTTATATTTTAAAAATGTATTAATTTCTCTGAAAAAAACCAGACTGTATTAAAGCGAGCATAATTAACACGAGCTATGAAAAGAAATGTCATATATATAAAAGCATCCGTATGATTGTGCTTTATCTTTGCTTTTGAAATCTGTGGTTATCTTTGTTAATTTGTATGCAACAGCTTATGGTTGTATCCAGGACAGACAACTAATGTAGCCGTGGATATCGTTGTACCATTGGGTACTCAAGATACTGTTAATACACTCACATTGTCCATCGATGGTACGGAAATACCGGAGAAGACAGTATATGTTTACGTTCAAAATGCAATTTCTAAGGTAAATAAGTGAAGATATAGCCAATATTATATATACAATTCTAATTTTCTTTCATATATAAATTCCCCAACTTTAAAGAAACAATAGTTTATAAAAAATAATAATACAGAATAATATAAAATAAATTATACGCAACGCGAGAGTTACGATATATTCTAATTTTATATTTACATAAGATTGTATATTTTATGCCTATTATTATTATAAATTGTATTATAAATACTTATACTATATAAATTTTTAATTATCTATGATTTCTCTTTGCATTTAGAGCATCGATAATGTAAAACCGACACTCGATTATACGTTCAATAGCAATTGTGCTGGTAAACTGGACAAAGATAGTTGTGAAAAAACATTTTGGAGTGTTGACATCAACGTTCAAGATTCCGATTCAGGTATTCGACGAATGTTTAATAATATAGATAGATAATCAATATATATAATTACTAACCAAAAATTTCTATTTAATTGAATTACTTATGTTTTTTTTTTTATGTAGGTTTAAAACGCGTTATATCGACTCCAAATGGATTATATTTACGCACAAAATTTATAAGCGGCACAAAGGACCGTGTTACATTTTTTTATTTATCGACGTGTTGCTCAACAACAGCTACTATTACGGCAATAGATATATCAGACAATGAGTATTCTCGTAGCATCGACGTCACAGGTAATTTTTTTTTTATTGCCGATAAATTTCAATGTATATTTGACATATTTATTTAACAGAAATTTATAATAAATATAAGATGCCGTAAATATGAAAATGGCATGACTGTATAATGTATAATAGTATCAAAAGATCAAATGTCATGATAACATCTCATTTTTATAGCATGGGACAATCTATCGCAAGGAGAGATAGCAGCTATCGTACTTGGTGTATTACTACTACTGTTTCTTATAATACTTCTTATTATTGCAATAGTTTATTGCGTTAGTAAAAGGAGTAGCCACGATCTGCCTTACACACAAAGATATGGTTCTAGACCGCCTGTTAGATCCGAAAGAACAAGCTTCTAACAATATGTTTAATGAGAAAATTAACTATCATTATCACAACCAACTATACCATAAAAATTGTACATTAAATTTCTAAAATATCTATTATTTAGTGTATATATATATAATGCATTTAATAAATTTTTATTGTAAAATATAATTGTGTTATTTTTTAAATGTTACTAAACTGAAATTTAAATTACATTACTGTATATAAATAGAATATATATATATAAACTGTAACTTTCTATGTTTTAAGTTGAATAAGAAATTATTCATTCAATTACTATTTAATAAAAAAAAGCACCAATATAACTTATAATAGACATATTATTAATAATTTTTTTTATGTATATATAGATTCTTTCAAATTTATCTAGGCTAGTTTGTTTAGATCAATTGCATATTTTAAACTTAGATTTTTATATCTTAATATTCAAATTTTATTTATATATAACTAAAGAGAGCATATAAACAAAAAAATCTTATATGTTGATCTTTGTATCATTATTTGAGTTTTTATACATATGCGACTATATAATTTTGGGCATAACTAAATGTGTGGGCCAAACGGATATACTGAACCGTATATTTAGATAGATATAAATGCCTTATGCTCGACTCATTGTCAGGGATTTTCATCACGTACTGTCATTTCTCTCTGCAATATCGACTGTGCAAATGATGAAGGAATAACAGATGTTTGCCAACGAATGCATTCTGGCAAATACAGAGGCACGATGCAAGAAAGATCAAGAGCAGTAAAACGGAGCAAACGGAGTAAAAAAAGAATCATTTTCCTGAAGAATTATTTCTTATGATTACTTCTTTGCAAATCACACTTTGCAATCGATCGCTATCCAATTTTCTGTATTATCAGGTCAAATCATATGAAAAATATGCTGGACCTCGCCCACAGCTTCTCGTTGAATAAACTCACCGTCTCGGAGTACGGCTGACGCGGGTGTAACTGGTACTAATAATGTATTCTCCGTGTAACTGTCAAAGGGAAAGCCAGGACCAGCAGCGGACAACAACGGGTTTTTCACTTTACGCGATGAGTTGTTCATGTTCACTATGATGTCGGAACCCACACAGTCCACAGTGGCACTGACATTTAAGCGTAAATAAACACGTGGGACTTTAAATGCTCTTATGAAATGCAAACCCACGTTACCTTATCGTCCACGTAAGCATGTGCTTATCAACCTATTTAACAGTGAACACGTTGCGTTGCGTTGTACCTCTTCGTGCTCTTATGGAGCGTGACTGTCTTGGACAAACGTCGACTACATTTAGGAAGTTTTGTATCTTTCCGTTTCTACATTGGTATTATATCTAGGGTATATCAAAGATGGCGCTAAAATTCGCCATATTTGTATGTATATCAGATATCAGTCAGTACTACAGACTTCTATATATTATACCTAGATTGCTAACACGGCTATATTTTGTCATCATATGCTGACATGTGAAACAAAGGCAGTTATTTAATTAGACAGATTGAAAGCATATTTATAGTGTATATATAAGTAAGTGTAAGAATGTCTGTGGCCAGTACATATATATTAGATGCTAAAATTAAAAAAAGTACATGTCACATGCTTTGAATCAAACATACAAGTTTTATTGATTAATCATAAATAAAACAATCAGCAGAAAATAACAAAAAAAAATAGAGAGTTACATGACATTTTATTAATTTATGGAAATTATTGTTATAGAAAGATGTCTGAGAAGGGCCACGCCGCCGTTTTTCGTAAGACATTTTTTCTAGCTAGTATAGTAGCGCCAAATGATTCCATTTTAGAACCCGCAGAACTACATGGCCAGAATCACTTTTCGGTGCCACGGTAAAATGGCCGGTTGGTGCATGTATGTGGATCCATAATTGTGGATCAAAAATGCGAAGAAATATTATGGATTTATTAATGTTTTATTTTTTTATTAGTTGCGCATGATGCTTTGTCATTCTAGTATATACTTTCTCTACGGACAGTTATAATAATCTCCACCGACTATCTAGACATAGACAGTTATACACAGTGAATTAAAAAGATTCAAACTTAACTGTCATTGATAATAACGATCCCTATTTCGTCAGCAGCCAGTCTTAATGAAATCTTGGGAGATGTCTAAATTTCTCTGTAAATGTATGACTATTCCATTCTTAACTCGTACTAAGAGAGAATTGATGCAAATTTTCTCATTAAAATGTTCAAAATAAAATGCCCACTTTTAATTAAATTACTCTAGAACTAAAAACTTATGTATAAAAATTTAATACGGCTTTGAAGATTCTATTATATAATATAATCAATATTCCTTGAAAAGATTTTTTTCATAAAAGTAATATTGTTTGTTCCTAAGTGCACAATTATTCCGTTCACAATATTTGCAAAATATAATATGCATATAATTTATTATAATGATATAAGAGAATGTACTTTTTTATGCAAGCAATTACGTAAAAAAATATGCAGTATAACAAATAATATATTTGTAACAGTTAGTGTTATATATCTTCTTTCGTTTGTCTGATGGCATACACACATTAATATTTCGATATGATACAGTTATGATCCGTTTGTTGTTTTCATTAATCAAGAATTACTTTAATCAACGTGCTTTGACTTCCACAGACTCATGTAGGAAAAGATTAAACATTGAAATCCGATTTCCGATTTAATCCTTTTTGGGAGAAGAGCTTACACGATGATGAAAGCATTAAAACTTCAAAGCGCCAGGTAATTAGCAACATGTGATACAAGTATTAAAGATGTGCGTGTCTCTTATATGATAAGTAAATTTTTAACCCTTTGCATTATGTTCTCCCTAATGATATGTATTTACCAATAAATTAATCTTTTGCTTTAAGAAAAAAAATGTGGAAAACAAAAATTATAAATTTATTATATTAGACTAAATCATTTATAAAATAAAATGTTTTCTTATCTTCTAATTTTTTAGATAAATATTACTTTTATTATATAAAAGTTATTTAGAAAATAATATTTCAAAGTCTTACAAAAGTTGATATAATATACTATTTTGTTTGCATTTTCTTTTTATTTAATTTAGAATATTTTGAAACTTTTTGCGAATTTGCTATTTTTTTATTTAAGGTAAATGTATCAAATAACTTTTCTTTTGTCTCAGAAATTGAAATGTTAGGAATGTTGACCAGTTTACATATGTTTTAGAGAGAGAAAGATTATTGCTATAGATTTTATGTTTGAATATATGATTACATATTAGTGTTAATTTAAATAAAGCTGATGCTTTAGCAATTCTTCTTTGTAAATTTTTGTATAGCAAGCATTGTATTCGCCAATCAAAAAAATTACGAGATGCATCGAGTTGACAAAAAATAATATTCTTTCACCCCACGATGTCGCGTTATAGATGACATCGCTAAATATTGCCTGGTCGTGCATCCTTGTCCGCTAATCTGTCTAATCTGTCCCAAAATGAAATAGTTGCGATTCTTTCGGTCTCACCCTTCGAATGCACTCAACGACGCAATGAGAGAAAACACTTGACCTGACTAGGAAGGGTGGCCCTTGAAGTGGTTTACAACGGGGAGATTATATTTGGGGCAAAGTGATTGTCGAGGTACGATCACATCGTCTTTCTAACTAGTCGCATAGCGTATCGAGTCTTTGAAAATCAATTCTTTCAAGCGCTTTATTTTTAAAGTTACTAAAACAATTTTATTTAATATATATCTGTTATATATTTTATTGCAATTATTATAATAAACGAGCTTCAAAATAATTTTACCTCAATTGCTTTAAAAAAATCTATCATCATTCAAAGCACAAAATATTCTCATAAAAATATTTTATCATAAATTTTTTATATAATTTTTATTTTAAAAAATGTTTATTTTTGTACATATATATACATCATGATCCAAATTATTAAATATTAGAAAAATTATACTTTTATCTTTAATGCATAGTCACACATTACATTTTTTTTTATTTCAAAAAAATATTTGTTTTTTCAATCGTTAAATTTTATTAATTTTCCGGGAAACATATAAATCTGAACATATCAAAAATATATGTATATGTATACATACATAGATATATATGTACAACGACATCTCACGAATATACCACATGTCTGCACGAACAATACGACTCGCAGTATTCCCCCCCCCCCCTCTCTCTCTCTCTCTCTCTCTCTCTCTTCGCTTTTTTGACTCACCTACGCAACCTTCCCCCTACTTCCCCGCGTTCTTCTAGATATCCAGGCAGAGCGAGGGTGACGTAGAAGCGGCGGGAGCAGGGTGCTGACTTTTATTACCCTGTCTGATGTTATGAATGCGACCTGTATGCAGCCCCTCAGGCGTACGTTCCCCTTCCATCGTTCGTCCTGCATAGCGGTTATGCTTTTTACGGCATGTATATTCGTGGTCATGATTAGTGACAGCTACGAACACGCGTGTACGGTGCAACCCTCATTTAGTCAAATACCAAGCATCCCCAAATCTCGATTATTTGCCGCTCGAATATAAATTAAAAATATTTATGAATAACGTTACGCTACGCTACGTTGCGTACTGTACTTATCTACGGTATTATAATTAAAATAATCTTTTTATTTTATTTTAAATAATTTTATTTGAAATGTTTTAATGAAATTTTTATTTCTTTTGAACAATTTAGTGATATATAGAAAAAATGATATAACATCCTCTTATGTACCAAATTTTCTTTTCTATAATGTCAAACATTACACGTTTGCTTTAAAGAAGAATAAAAAATTAAAGATATAGTGATGCTATTTTCATTTTTGATGCAACAATACATTTTTGGCAGCATTTAGGACGCAAAAAGTGTGGACCCTTTATCCACTTGTAGCCAATTAGCCATAAATAGTCAAATATTTGTAAAATATTATATTATTTTTTATATGATTTTTTGAAGAATTTCGATGGTATGTTTTAATTTCCATAAAAGCTACACAAAATTCATCACAAGTACCACTTTAGCCACGTATATAAAAGCATTTATCTTTATCGTACTTTGATATTTAAATCGATCAATTATATACGCATAAATACAAAAAAATTTAATATGCTTAGATGTAAAATTATTTAATAACTTTATTACCATACATTTGCTGATGATTATAGCATTATTCTGTGAATCACAGAAAATGTATCCTAAAAAATATTATTTAATAGAATTTTTTCAATTTGTTACAATGCATGACGCATTACGTAATACTATTAAGATACATTATCTACGAGTGAATTAATTGTAATCAAATATTTAAAGTTTGATCGAAAGACCGTTTATATTTGCTGCTAATTAATATTTAAATAAATGACGTTATATTAAAATAAATCATAGACAAATACAAAAATAATGATCAAAAATTATGATGCATGATAACGATTACAAATATGCAGATGCAATCGGCTAATCCCGGTAGGGAGACGTCATCAAATTATTACAAACATATTTGTACGCTTCTCGCTTTTTAATAACACAAGCATCGCTCGTGCTACCAACCGATGAGAGACATTTGCATCTGGGAAGAATATTGCAATTACCAGTCGTTTCGTCGCGTAATAAATTATACTCGACCGCTCGTCGTGTCCGCAACATTAATTGGATGCTAAAACGCGCTACAAACGTTTGAGATTTCTGTAACCTCTGAATCGTTTTGTAAAGAATTTTGTATCTCTATTGTATTGCGCGATACATGCCAAGATCATTGAAATTAATTGACAATTCAATTTACGATGTGACTTGATTTCTATTAATTTTTATATATGCATGTAAAAAAATCAAAAGAATTTTTGCGTTATATATTTTTAATTTATATTTATTTAAAAAAGTGTGTGAATCTATTTGGAAAATACTTATTGTTATTAAGTTTTATTTATTTATTATTAGAACGACTAATTTTTAAGAGATATATAAAATAAGAAATATTTTTAAAAAATATTTTGTTGTTAATATCAGTTCATAGATTTGCACTTGTACATACGAATTCACATGCAGATTCCAGAGATAGCGCGTTTGATATCAATCTAACAGTGAGATAAAGTGAAGATTGCGTGTTTCGAGCATAGGAATGCTCTTTGATCTTGCCGGGAAACTTGTATCATGCACGATTACTGTCCTCGTATCAATACAAGCTTTTTTGCAAAGAAAAAAACAAATCTTAAATATTTTTGAAAAATACAGAGTTTTAAATTTTAATTAATATGCTATTGTAACATGATAACATGATAATATAAAATATGTATTTAAATATTAGTGTAATTATTAATTTCTTCGGTACAAATATTTAACAAAAGAGTAAATTACAAAAATATAAAAATGTAGAGAACTGGTAATGCGCGTGCAAATAGCGGAACGATGTTGAATACACATCACACTGACGATTTTAATATCCGCGAATGATAAACAAAGTGGTATCTAACGAAGTGGGATAAAGGCGCGCTGTAATAAAATTTGCGTTGCGCTGCATCGTGACCGAGTCGGGGGAAACATTACGAGCGGTTTTCTCCAATTTCAATTACCCCGAGCAACTGGTGTATATGGATGTCCGTTTGAGTAAAAACGCGAAAGGTCGAGGGAAACGTCAAGAGCCGCTTTGCAATACCAATTTGTCATTTGACCGCCGAGAATATTGAAATCTGCTTCGCCATATTTCTGAATGTCTTGAAATATACTCCAGCAAAATTGCATTTTTTGAAATCTTTATAGAAGTAACGCCGTTCTATAAACCAGTATATTTTTCATTTAATATTTGCCTTGACACATTGCTATTGAAATATACAAAGCTTACCAAACTTACAATATTTACATATTTGACAAAATGTATAATTTATTCTTTCTCTCTTTGCACTTTATCCGCTCTGTTACTGTGTAAAGAGATTGTAATCTAATTATTATAAACATTACTTTTTTATCGTATGTATATAAATTTAATTGCGCAATAATATTTGCAATTATATTTCATAAAAGAAATTGATTATTAATATTAGCTGATTAGATAATTATTGATATTAGCTTACAATATATCTGAACCGCCCACAAGAATTTGCATACCAGTTAAAGGCAAGCAATGTAATTCGGTCGTTTTACCAAAGTGCTCATGCGTTTATATGAATCTCGTTCGTCAAAGAAGAGGGTTCACGATTAAAACTGCGGTTAATCCCATCCACCCACCTCTGTTCTCTCGTAACGGCCGCTCTTTACCGTTGCTTGGTTTTATTCCACTAAAAACCACCCACGAATGAAGGACGTAGAATATAACACAGAGAAGGAGGAAACGATTCAGTGAGAGGAGGAAAAAGATAAAAAAGCAACAAATATAAGCAGAGGGGTAGTAACGGGCAAAGCAAAGGGAGAACTTGGAAGGGAAGAGACGCAGAAAGAAGAGAGATTAGATGAAGGCCGTGAAGATAATATAAAAGAGATTTTTTTATATTTTTATTTACACTTTTCACATATAAGAAATGAAAATAATAACTTGATAAAGCAAGAAAAAAATAAATAAAACGATTATTTTATTATCTAAGGAAATTCACCAAAAAACGAAGATATTTCTCTAATGATTATTATGTATTTTAATACATATTTACTTCACATATATAGCATTTTATTTTTCTATACATTTATAATTATACATGTATGATTTGCATATAATGGTCCACAGATATAATTTACATTAAATCCATATTTTTAAATTTAATCTTGTATAATAATGTTAAGTGCGATTTTCAAAATACAAGACAAACATATTTTATTGTCAGAGGTAGATAATTCAAATGTGATAAAATAATTTTATATGAAAAGAACACGTATATAATAACGTGATAGATCGTATATATTATATATATATATATATATATATATAAATGAAACACGCGTATCATGTATAAAGTATGGGATAATGCGTGGGAGACTATACATATATAAGCGTAGTGATTTAGACAGAAAGATAAATATATGGAAAGTGCGATAAAGCAGATAGCAAGGCGGATAGATAGACGGACAGAGAGAGGGTGGTTAACGAGATAGAGCAATAGAGAGAGAACAAGCGAGTTTACTGGGGGTAGGGTGAGACCCCACAAAGGCAGTGGGGCTCTTTTGATTCGCGAGCTAATTGGAATGCCGCGGATGCCAACGACGATGAAGCAGGGGTTGGGATACCCTCCGTCGAAAGGTGGGGGTTGCAGGGCTCTTGGAAGTCCTGCTGTAACCGAGGGATAGGCGGAGCTTACATCTCGCACAGGGTTGTAGCGCGAGATATCGAAGCTCATCTCGCCTTCATTCTTCCTTTTAGTCTTGTGACGATTTCGATCGCATCGTAGCTTTATTTAAGCATGAATTTCTTTATATAATGATCTATCGGTTTCTAGGAATTTTGCAACTTATAAATTTACCCGAAAAAATGAAAATAAAAGATATGAAAAATATGAAATAATTATACAATTCCATTTTTTGTTTTTTTTATATTTCAATTTTATCTATTTTTTGGAGAAATACCTTTATCTAATTTTGAGAATATCTTTTTATAAGCAAAAAATAAAGGGGAAAAAACAATCACCATTTTCTTTAATTGTAACAGAAAAAAATTATAAGAAGGTTTTATCATTATTTTTCATATTTAATTTATTTATTTTATTTAATTTAAAAAATAATTAAAGAGAGCAAAATTATTTGATTTATTTTTAACACACACATGAAAATTTATGATTTACCGATAATGACTTTTAAAATATACATGATGATGTTAATTATGAAGAGGATTTTGTAATGGTAATAAGCATATTAATTCATTTAGAATAAATGAAATTCGTGATGAAATGGTATATTACGAATTGATTGATATCTTTTCCCGTATCTCCGTAATGGCAAAGTCTACATGATTGTGCGTCAAGAGCTTTTTGTGATGCTTTGACACGGGTCGTATGCTAATTTATCACGGCGACAATGAGGCTTTCGCGTAACGAGCGAATATTAGTTACTAACCATCACCCATGTCAAATTTTTATATAAAAGAATAATATATGCGTGATCCAATTCACATGTGCATTAATAGTCTTTCATTTTGTAACAATGTTATTTTTTTTAGAGGATTATATTTGATATTTAAGAATTATTAAAAATTAAGAAATCTATCCATTATAATAACTATGTAAATTATATCAAATTTCTATTTATAATATATACTTCCTTTATAAATTTTTGTTTAAAGAAGGACAATATCTTTTATATTTTTTAAAACGTGCTGCAAATAAACGTCAAATATGTTTGTATCTTCATGCAGGCACCAATATGTTTGTTGTACAAAATATTTAATTTATGAAAATCTAAATCTCCTATCATTGCATCTCTTTTGCAATAAATAACATCCACCTTGCGTTAATGTAATAAAGATATTAAGTTTAATTGAACAAAGCGTAATTTTGCAACGTTATGTTAGTACGACATAAAGTTTCTGAACGTTATTAATATATTTAAACAAAAGCTTTGGTCAGAGTTTTTCTTTTGTGCCCGGCTAATAACCACATAAAAAGCTTATACTCCTTTTTCCGACTTTGATTACGAGTAAAAATTGTTTGGGAACTCGTGTAAGATATGATAGTGATTCTTTTTCCTCATATTATCCGAGAAATTTGAGATATCTCATTCATGTTTCGCAATTACAAAAAGTTTAAATAAACTCATGTTTGTCTGTTTTTCTTGGCAGTATTAAATTACTGTCAGATGATATTCTTTGTGTTGCAAATTATTTAATTTTTTAATATAAAAAGATATAATTATAATTTTATCAAATAAATAATTATTGCGAATTAATATGGATATTAATTTAGAGGTATGGACATTAATTTGGGGTCACACAATTAAACAGACTATTTATGTTTAATGTACAATTTGAGAGTTTATTCTCCATTTGACATGTACGCGTACGTCTATCGTATAGTTAGTTATATTATAGTATCACATATTTACAGTTAATTTTTTTGTGCGCCAGTGCCAAAAGACGTAAAATGACATTTGTCTCTTTGTAATTAAAATGAGAAAGAAGATGTTACATCGCTTTTACGTTAGCTTTATTGGCTTTATTTAATTTATATGTATGTATATACATTGCGAAACTAATTTTTCATGCCTTCTCATAGCATAAATTTTTATCGTACTACATAGAATACATCTACACGATTCGAAAGACAGTTACAAAAATATATATTGGACAACCGGTAGAAGAGAAATGACTGAGAATAGAAGCATTATTGTTAGCGTTTGTGATTTTTGGATAATGCAATCTGTGATTTGCATCTCTCATTGAGTCTATTATATTAACTTTCGATAACTTTATCTTTTATCAGATTCCTCGTTTTTTTAAAGTATTTAACATTATGATTTAGTGAAATATAATCTCAAAGCAGCAATATTCACATTTAGAAAACTTTGCTGTAAATATCTTTTTCTTTTCTCGCGTAAAGCATAATAAGATATTTAACATCTTTCTTAATAATTAACGGAATTAATTCTCAGTGTCACATATTGTAACATGCAACAAGTTACTCTTAAAATTTATTTCAGAAGTTTTATTTTAATAGTTATTATTCCTGTAAACACAAGAAACTAGTTTCAATTTTTTGAAAACATATATTCCTGGAAAACAATTTAGCTAAGAAGGAATTTTATGTATTTTATCTGTAAAACAATTTTTCTTAATTTTTCTTTTATAAAAGTGACAAAATTAGAAAGAAACAATTCAAGCATTATAATGAACGGACATTCTTGTTGCACCCTGTGTTGTTTGCGCAGAGTGTCTGGTTCTATCGCGTAAAATGTTTGGTGTATCTTTGGTATATTTAGATGATATCCGTGCGAATTTATGCGACAACTCGTCCATCGGATGTTTTCCTTCCAACGTTTCATACATTGGTATATTAGAGTCCCTGGAGCGTCGCGTTTTCATCGAATACAAAATCGGTGATGGAATTTCACAAGGTCCCATGTTTTCTACAACGTGATATTTCGGCTTACAATACCCGCACCAGGATTGATCGAGGATCTCAGCATCATCGCCTGAAATAAATGATAATATTATTAATAAAAATATGAGAATTTTCTCTCAAATAATATTTATATCTATCAAATATCCATCAAAATCTATATGATAGAGGAATAGAGTAATTGTAAATTAAATCAAAAATTAAATTGATTAATTAAAAGGAATAATTCTTTTGATTATTATAAGTAATAACAAATGTAGTTATTTTAATTTTACATATACAGCGATGTCGTTAATCACAATCGTTTTGAATATGATTTAACTATTTTCAATGCTAGAACGATTTTGTACATCTCGCTTACCAAAATGCCTTCTAGTTGAGAAATTAGGGTTATCTTGGAATCTACAGTTGTTCCTTTTAGGGGTTGATGGCTTTCTAATCGAGACATTACCGCAACGACTACATTTTCTCCTATCAACAATTTCTGCTTCCGTGAAGGACTTTATTTCTGGTCTCGTCTGCGCTCGGCGGCTTGGCGAGATCATTGTGTCATATCGATCAGTTGAATTCCTCTGCGGAATCCAATTCTGATGATAACCCGCTGATGATCTTCGAGGAGGATTTTTTAACGCTTGAGCCGTATACAGATCTTCCTCCGACAACGCTTCATGGATATCGCGATCGGGCATGTTGCGGTAATACCTAATCACATGGGCATTTTGCAGAAAATTGTCGTATCGACGATAAAACATATATGATCAAAAAGAATACCGAACCAAAAGCATAATGTAGATAATTTATCATGAAGCTCTTTAATTACTACGTATCCCGTGTACAATGTGCGTTTATGCCTCTAATTTCTGATTCATACTACTTTGTCATGTATAATTCATTTAGTTCTCCATTAGCTTTGAATGGACCGTCGATACTATATAGTACGATTAAACTTACATAAATTGAGAAGTAATTAAAATGGACCAAATATAATTTTTATAGATAAAACGGAAAGAAATATAGAAAAATCTTATATGATAATATCTTTTTATATAAATTTTTAATTTTTTAACAGAGATAAATTACAATCAATCTTGTTATCAATCTCTAATAAAAACGTTAGACACATTGTTTACTAGACTAAAGATTTTTAAATAATATTTGATGTATATATTTTACGGATTTATCCTACAAACCTTGTTGGTAAAGGATGAGCTTGATATAGTTTTGGCGAATATTGAGAGTAACGAATTCTATGCGGATTTTGTTGTTGATTGATTTCCATTCGTTGCTGTGTGCGCAACGGAGCATCTTTCTTAACTACATTTCGTTGCACCGCATGTGGTTCGGCAGGTACATCAGATTCTTCATCTATCTCATCATCTGCTTCTTGTTCATCGTACTCCTTATCGTGAGACTCACCGACCCTCTCTTGATCGTTTTCTGCTGTAGTAATATATCTTGTTTTTATAAACTAAACGCAATCGCAAAATGATAGTTGTGTTTTTCACCACGCTTTTTAATTATATGTAATTATTTTATTAAAAAGTATGCTATGCTTTTGGGTATTTATCATAGAAAAAATGTATATTTTTTAAGATTTAATAGCTTCTACGATTCTCATTCTTTTATGTATTATATGTCCATATATGTACGCGATAAAAATTATAATAAGTCATAATAGTTTTTTATATTTTTTTAAATATGTTTAAACTATATATATATTTAAATTTATCACACAAATTATTATTCTCTTAATATTTTTCTTAAAATACATAATAGAGTTTTGTATGAAAAAAGATTTTAATTGCAATTTTACACTTCATACCTTCCTCTTCACCATCATCCTCTATATTATCTTCCGTAAAATTTTCTACTTCTTCGTCGATGTATTCTACATTACTCTCATCTTCCTGCCGATTTTTATACCGCTCTTTGTCTATCACAGTAACGTTGTTAGCATAATCTTTATGTCTACCAGATTTTGTGGTATCTTGTTGATATCGCTGCGGTGCTTCCGTAACAGCAGAGGGATATTTCAAATGCATCGAACGTGGATAAGTATTTTGTTTAAGAGTCTTGTAGGAATTTGCGGAGGAATAATAGCTCACCGTTGGTTCTGATATGGGTTTCTGATGGTGTCTAAAAATGGAACTGTTTTTAAATTACTTTTATAAGATATTATTATTTGTCGAACAGTGAGAATCTGTTTTTTAACGTTAGATATTTAACAAGTTATGACTTTTAAGATTAAGATTTTTTTTGTATAAATTTAGGTATTTAATCTTTCGAATATAATAATATAAAAACATGTATGTTATTAAAATTTTCGACAAAAATCTCTTAAGTATGCATATAAGATTATATATATATATATTGCATTTTTTTCTCAAATTAAAAAAATTTTGTTACTTATTAAAAATTACCTAGTGTTTTTATCAGTTGTGTCTTGATTGTTTCTTTGTGTATATTTCCAATATGCATCAGGTGGGACTCTAGCATCGGTAGTTTGTTTAGTAGACCACGTAGATGCATGTGGTGAAGTGTACTTTGTCTTATTTCTTCCAATTTGTTCCATTTTTATTAGATAATTTGTATACGATGTCAAAAAGTGCGTTGAATCTATTTCTCATGCTTCTCAGTTTATCTTCATTAGATTTTGTTCCTTATGGATCATTATATTTCTATTTACACTGTTCTCTTTCTCTCTCTCTCTTTCTTTTTCTCTTTGGCACAAATTTTTTATTAACATTTAATGTGTTCTTTGAAATATCTTAAATTTAGTTTAACTTTGATTTGCACTTTGTATAATAAAGTACGCAGTTACAGAATACTTTTACGATTTTTTGAAAACAAGATGTCTCATCAAAAGTGTCAACTTCACTTGAAAATTTTAAGCTAAAAGATATAAAAAAAAATATTTTAAATAATAGGAAGCTTACGTTGGCACTGTCAAGATTTTGTTACAGTTCTTTGTCACGTTTCACAATCCATACAATTTTTTCAAAGAAATATGCTCAAAGCTTTGCAGTATGATATCAAGGACTGGCACACAGGTATAAGAGTGAAGAAGGAATGACACGATGTAGACACTTGGCAGGAAGATATCAAAAACGATATTTCTTCAGGAGATTGACATGTACACGTTTAAAGTCTCGTTCACGACTATAACGGTGTAGAATGATCTCTCGGTTTCCTAGTACGACGAAATAAAAGGAATGGAACAGTTGCGTAGTTAAGAAAAAAGAAACAAAACGATAATCACGATAAAGAAACGCGTAGATGATAAATTCCTGTTTCACCATTTGTCGGTCTCGTTGCTATCCTCGTGCTCCAAAGAGGTGTTTAAAGTGCGTTGAAATTCGTGCACCCTCTGGCTTTGTTGCTCGTGGTGCAACTTTCGCCACTTGATGCGGCGATTTTGGAACCAAACTTTGACTTGGGCCTCGGTCAATCTAAGTGCGTGAGCCAGGTACAATCTTTCAGGGCCCACCATATATTGCTGACGTGCGAACTCGCCTTCCAGGCGCTCCAATTGCTCTGCCGTAAAGATCGTTCGCACCCTCTTTACTTTTCCGCCCCCACCAGAACTAGTACTCGAACTGTTGTTTTTTGTAGTGCCTTCTTGGGCTGAAAAAATGGCAAATATGCGTAAAAAAAAGATTAACGTACCAAAAATTAGGGATATCTAATTATAAAGTCGCTAAGACAAAAAAATGGAGGGTTTTAAAATTACTAGAAACTTTATAAAGGACAAAAATATAATATATATGTTAGACATAATCACTATTCTCATAAGGTTATATTTTATATATGCGTTAAAACTTATTCCAATACATTAAAAAGTTGCAAAAGATAATTCTATAGCGGAAAATATATATACTGGTACCTTAAATTTCAAGTTGAAATTTTGAAAACTATTGTTTTGATGTAGAAAATTTAGATATTTGACATTTGTCTTTTAATGAAAACTAAAATTTATCTGAAGTCAGTTACAGACTTTCGATATATCACAGTTTATGATATATATATACAAAGAAACATTATGATTGTTTTTTATTTTATCAAACAATTTATTATACAGGATGTTTTACTAAAAATAAAATTTTTTAATATTTTTATACAATATCTGGAGAATAATTTTTGGGGCAAAATAATTTGACTTCAAGATAATTTGCTTTAAATTTAAATTAATGTAAAAATTAAATTATTGTATTTTAGAATAATAACAATTCTCTATTTTTGATAAATAAATAGTTTTTATGATTATTTACTTAAAATTAATATGCAGAAAAAGTTTTCATTTTATTTATTATAAAATAGGTAAATTCAAACTTCTTTAGAATTTTATTCCTGTATAAAGACATGTTTTGCTTGTTTATAACTTACATTTAGAACATTTATTGTCATTAGAGAAAGATAAAAAGAGAGATAATGTTATAATAAATAAATATGATTTGGTATAATAATTTATTATACACTATAAAAAGAATCAAGCAAATTTAAAAAAATGCGTTGCTTTAATATTACATAAGAAAAGAATATTGCATAATTTAATTAAATGCTTGCATAAGTTAATTAAATTAAAATTTCTTTCAACAATTTTTTTTTTACGTACGAGGTCTTTGATTACATTAAAAGAAATGATAAAGATAGACAAAATATAATATGGAATAAGCAAAACTAATAAAAATTGATGCATAATTAATGCTAAATACCCTGATGTTTTCTGTACTGTTGTTGTTGATTTCGCTTCTCTCGCTGATTATTCCTCAGGCCCAAGATAGCATCGATAGTGAAGGACTTTGCTTGTTGCTGCTGCTGCTGTTGAGAGTGTTGCATATGCGTGATTGAATGCGAATGCGGCACTTGCGTCGACAGGCTTTGCGCGGATAATTCCGTGCCCAGGAGATGCGAGCGTCTCATGCGCTCCAATGCTATGGTTTCGAGATCGGGATTCCTTGGTTGTACTTGCAGATTTCTGAATTCCTTGTGTTCTAGTATTCCCGGATTCTCTAACAAACCGGCGCCGCCGCGCAACCTCTCGAGGGCCAGATTGCTAATGTGGCTGTCTCTCATTCTGTCTAAAGAAAAATTGAATTCCTTCATGCGATCGAGATTATAATTTTTGAGCAAGCCAAAGTCTTTCATCTCCTTTTCCACTACGAAATTGAGATCTTTGCTATATCTGTCTAAAGAGGATAATGATGCATGAGGACTCCTTTGCTTGGTCTCGCGTAAATTGAACAGCACGTTCTTGGCGCTGGAATTTTTGGATCTGCAAAGCGTCGTCGTGGCATCTGACGATTCCTCGTTCTCGTTCAATCTATCCAACGGGTAATTGATTTCACTCAAGTTATTGGCGGAATAACCGAAATCTTTGTTTTTATTCAATGTCATAGTCAGATTTCTCGTTGGATTTTCGCATGAAAATTCGTCGAATCGAAGGGATGTTCTGTCACCGCCTTCGAGACTAAGATGAAAATCCTTTGGTTCAGTTGATGCATCTTCTTTGGTTTTATCAATGGACAGATTCAATTCTTTGATGCGCTCATAACTTTGAAACGCTCTTAATTGCGATTCCGAATGACTACTGTCGCTTATACAATCCGATAAGTCCTCCGCCGTTAGTCTGCCCGACGGATCGTTCGTCTCCATTATTATTCTTGAAACTTATTTATTATTTTAATCTATTATTTTTTTATATATATACTTGTTGCACAATAATACTACAGATAATAAATGTTCAAAGATTTAGCCTTTGATTGATATTAATATACCATCCATTAAATTATTTCATTATTTCGTAAATAGTATAAATTTAATTTTAAATAGTTTAATTTTATAAAGTAATTTGCAGTTATTGCAATAATTCGCGATATTTGTTAGGACATTAGATTTGTATAAATATTTATCACAAATTCTTGTCTCTCTCTTCTCAGCAATCGGCTGAATAGTCCAATCAGTTTTTCTTCTTCACCATAGTCACAACACAGTTTATTCGTCACTATCAGGATTATCGTCAGAAGAGATCACTTGTTTTTCGTCAAACAAATCACGTCATTTCTTTCGTCATATTAATTTTCCGCAATGTAGAATATCAGAAAATTAAAAGATTATTAAATCACGATCACAATCACGTCCATTGTCGCGTAACTATTATTCCGTTATAAAAAACAAATTTGTTCACCATCACAATTTTTGTAGATTCACTGAATAATAATTAACTGTATTTCACTCGAGGTGTCAGACAATCGATGGATAAATACAAACGAGACGAAGATGAAAACGAGAAAGATGAAAAAGCGCGAGGAGAAAACGTAACAGTATCGAAAGACTGAATTGCGAAGGCGCCTGCGACAAGATATGGTTGGACCGCGTTGGCGCTCCGCAGCATCCAAGGATAATGATGTCAAACACGAGGATCACCGCTATCGGATAGGGTTGGCCAACGGGACCAAGGATATCCAGCTAATGATCCTGTACGTGACGAGGAGGGTATTCACCCGCCGCCTCATGAGCCCCCCTCGCCCGCCTGCCACCCTTAACAATCAGTCGACCGTTATGTTTCACCTCCGCAACCCCCAAATGGACCGCAGGATACCCCCTCGTACGGTCAATATTTTTTCATTCGATAAGAGAAGGCCGGGGTGCGCGTCGTTCCCGGTTCCTGGTTGGCCGGATTCTGCCATCACCCCGTCTCCGAGACACGCCTACCGCGAGCATCGTGGGGGATATTTGCGGGGAGTCTCTTACTTTTTTCTACCCTCTATCTCTCGAGCCATCCAGCCAGCATCCACCGCCGCCGGCTCGCAACCCGTTCTTCCTCGTCGTCGTTCTGCAAAAGCACCCCCGTCCTTCCTCGCAAGCACCCATTAATAAGCTTTCGCCTAGACCGACGTAGCTCACTTCGAGATGCTCGTACCGACACCACCAAGCTTCCTGCAAGGCATACCTGCGAAGACGAGCGCGTGCGTGGACGTAGTTAGCGCCTTGCCTCGACCGCTCGTGTCATACGGCAGCAGTGTCATCCGCGTCTAAGACCTTCCGGTAATTAGGTCCTAATGATGATGAGGTAGTTTAATTTTGTTCGGATGATCTTTCTTACCTCGTCTTGGATTGAGATAGTCTTCCGCATCTCGAAGAGTTCACTCGCTATGGATTATTGGGAGGAATTTCACGCAATTTATCTTGCGAAATTTCGCGCTGACTTGAGGAATTCTTGAGCTAATTACACATGGAGATGGTACTATTATAATAAACGTAAATTAATTATAAAAAATTATTATAAAATAAAAACATATAGAACATTTATCAACAGAATTGTTAAGGCAAAATTGTACATAAGCAAATAGGAAAATAAGCAGCAATGTTTCTGCGATTTATTTTTTGTATGTTTTAAAAAATTTTGTAACTAACAAAAATTTTGAAAGCATATTTTTTTTTTTTAATAGTAAATTTTTCTCTACATTCTAAGATATCCATCTAAAATAAAAAATACAATCTTTAAGCATTGAAAGTAATAGATTGCGATAAATATAATATATAATGTATATTTATCTCTGCAGCTTTTGTATAATTAAATTAAAATTGAGACACATGACTGTGAAGTGGCGATCATCATTATTAACATATTCTAAAGATGCCGAGGTAAATAGGTTCTCCTTAATTGTCTCATGCCAATCTGAAACTTCATTCACAATCCCCTCATTAGACGTTGACGGGTATGCGGGAATTTCAGTGCCTTGGAAAACCTCTAAGGAGGTTACACTCAAGAGTAAGAGCTTAATTACATCAAGATTTTACGTCATGTTGACTTCTTGCATGCACACACAGCCTTATCTTCTTGTTGACATAATGGTATGCAACGTCTTAATAATGCATGGTATTCTATTTCAAGAAGAATTAATTGATTTAAATATAAAAGATTTTATATTAATGTTATGTTATAATATAAAATTAACTGAAGTGCATATGATATAAAAAATATTAAAATGATTAAATACTTTATATTATAAATTGATATATATTCGTTCACAAAAAATATAAAGTATCCAAACATTTATATCTTAATAATATAAAAATTATATTTACTTATATAAAAAATATAATTCTGTGTGCAATTTTATATACATGTCATTAATAAATTCTTGTATTCTATCTTTCACAAAGTTGGCGTACATGTGAATAACATCCCTGATAAAAGTTTTACGCTTAAAGAGCCGTTATAAAGTTAAGATTGAGCTATAAATTCCAAATTTACTTAAGCTATTCTTTAACTATTTCACAAACCAGTTCGTAATTACATCGTATATTATATTTCTTATTACACAAACTTTGCTATAAACTTTTATCAATGATTCTAGTACCAATAATCTTCGTCATTCTTTCCCGTTCTTTTTTGCAGATCTAAAAATATCTATTTATTAAATAAAAAAGCTGAAGTTTCTTATAAATTGATTTAATACACGTGCAATTAATTTAATCATACATATAGTTTATCTAAATTAAATTGAAAATTGCTAAAACAGCGTTTTTAATTATTTTATTGCAATAAGCAGATAATTATGTCACATATAAATTATATTTTTCCATCAAAACACATTACTATATACATTAAATTTGCTACTCAATTATATAATTTTGATTTTAATATTATTTTTACATAGTAATCTCTTTTACAAAGAAGAATTATATATCTAAAATCTTCAGGAAAGAACGGCATCAGGTTAATTTCTTCACTGTCTTATTTTCACATTGTTCCCTAGTCTGGTAATTATCAGCTTTTACATAAGAAGATTCTCTCAAGGGAAAGCAAATGCAGGGTCGAATAAAATTGGCGACAAATGTATAAATTAAATGGTAGTCCGCGTCGTGTGGTGGGGGTTCGAAAGAATTTCTATTGAAGCTCGATACCCACCCTCTTGATCTCCGACCAAATGACTTGCGACTCACCCTTATTACGGCCTGAAATTTATCACGGAAATTTCGTGGAGTATTTTACCCGGATAATTGCTCCGCTTTATAAGAGCCACCCTTACGAGCCAATATATAAGACAAAGACGATCTGGTGAGACTCCTATTCGCTTCAGCAAGTTTGATTCGATGTGCAAGCAACTTAATGCTTGAATAACAAATCCAATTTTATAACAAGATATTCTTAATCCGTATTTTACAACGCAGCCTGTTATAGAATTAAAATTTTTGAAAAATTTTGTATATATATGAAATTTTAAAAATATATATATATATCTTTTTTTTTAATTATGGCGAAGTGTATATTTCTAATTTAGCTCAAACAAAAAATATTTATAAGAATAGTATTGATAAATTAACAGAATATTATTGATAAGAAAGAACCATTTGTTTATATTCTGTGCATATATAAAATAATCAATTTTATAATTGTTAGAATAGAAAATGTCAGAAGATTTAATTAAGAATTAATACTATATAAATAATGTGCAAATGCAGTATACTTACTATTCCACATTAGCAATTTTAAAAGACAAATTAATATATACTTAAGTATTATAAAAATATTATCGTCCAAATCATGATAATTGAAATTGACTCTTGCATCCATGAAGTTTTCATATTGTATCAATTATTCGGTTCGATAAGTCTATCAAGCACTCTTCCATTCACGATATGCCGATCGTGGTGACGAGAAGATCATTACTCGACAAAATATCAGTTACAGTAAATAGAATACTATCTATGCTATCTATTGTTTCCAAATTGAATCTGTATCTATATGATCTACAGTCTAATCGTACGTTTGTTGCCACATGCGCGCGGATGCCCATGTAAAATTCGCGAACGCATAGTGCCATACGCACCCCCGCTTTGCTTCTTCCTTCCCTTCTCGAGCAGGAACGTAGGAACGTAGGTATTGCGATCGACACATACAAAGCAAGCTCTCCCTTCCTGGACTCTACAACATTCTGCTGCCTTACAACCGACGCTACCATCCTCCTCGGTCCCTCTTCACCGCCTTGTTTCCCCTTTTGCCGCTTTCTCCTCTTCCTCCTCCACCTCGTCCTCTAGCTTTCATTCCACATGCGATATTAAAGCCAAGGCAATTAGCGGTGGGGGTTGTTGCGAGGGATGGCGAGGGAGTGCGACAGTTTCAGCCGGGTTTCGCAGTCATCCACCTGGTGGGGTTGTCTCGGATATGATTGGTTGTCAGCAGGGGTTAATCCCTGGGCCCGGCCACACCCCAGCATATCTCAATCCACCCCCGCGAATCCGGCCGGCCGAGCTTTCCGCCCGGAATCCGCTGAAAACGAGGGTGAAAACGCACAAGCGGCAAGGATATTTCCGAAGAGTAGGATAAGTCGAGCTTCTTAAATTTGAAGGAGATAATTTCGGGCAGATAATAACATTATTGGACAAGAAAGACGGTAAGCATATGATCATTCTTAATGATATAATAATTAATATTTCATTACATATTTCAAATAAAAAATATACAATTATTTTACGAAGAACTATATAAGAGAAAAAGACCTAAATTTCTTTAGAATTTGTTCTGGAATATTAAAAAGCGTAGAATAAAACAATTAATTAATTACTTAAAAAATATTGACTTAAATGATTATTATAATTATCTTACTTTATCAATTTTGTATAACAACTATAAAATATAAGAAAATAAAGTTTACAAATTATTAGAAATAATTTTCTCATTTAACTAACAATAAGTTATACATATAATATAGAGTTATCAACCACTAAACTCTAATACACAATTAAATGTGATTTTGTTTTTAAAGAGATAAACATTATCATTACTTGACAACAAAAAAGAAAACAACATAAAATTGTTATAAGCTCATATATTTTTTAAAGCTTATAAATCTCCAAATTGTTGACTTTGATATAACAATATAATTTATTCTATGTGTAAAATAAAATACAGAGAAATATATATATATATTAACAAATCAAACAATATGTGCGAAATGAATTGTATTCCGTTGTTTCTTTCTGTTTACATAATCAAAAAAAAAACTTGTATTTTATGCGACGTTTTAAATATAAAGACGAAATTACTTTGCTCCAACTGTTTTTATAAGTCGCAAAACTTATAAAAACAGTATAAGTCGGAAAACTTATAAAAACAATTAATAACGAACAGCTAGAGCGTAATTTAGATGAAAACCGAAGAGAGTTTAAAACTTTCATCACTCTAAGAAGATTGTAATAAAAATTCGCTATCAGAAAAAGAGAAAGGTAAAAATATTGCTTGATGAGTAAGAGTTGAGAATAAGTGAAAGAAGCGGTAACATAAGAATGCAACAGATTATAAAAAAATGTTGTCTTGTAAAATTAAATTCTGATTAATTAATTAATATATTACCATATGTATTAAATATGTATATTAATTAATTAAAAAGTAAAATTCTAAATTATTACATTATAATAATAGAATAATACGCAAAATTATTTTTATTCTTATTAAGATAAAGTTAATCAAATTTGGCAAAATTCAAAGCTGTTCCAGTTATTGCTTTTTTACTAGAAAGATATAATATATAATTTATAAAGTATTATAAGTCATACACTGTGTGTATGAATATTTAAGTTTCTATATTACCATGTGTCACGTATATGACTTTTATAGAGTCAAGTAAGGTTAATTGAATTTCTCCGTAACAACGTCTTGTACGAATAGCTTATATACTTACGGTTCCATGAATATAATTAATATTCACTTTCCTCAGAATAGTCTTATAAGCATATTATATTAATTGCACATTTTAGTATCCTCGCGTGAAGACAATATCATCATATTTTTATCTGTTATCAGAAAAAAGATATATATATATATATATATATATATAGAGCGTAGCGATGCAAAAGGAAAAATTATCTCTCTACGGCAAATCATCGT